AGACGATTACAGCCCAAGGAACTGACTGAATTATATCAGGCCTTAAAAGACATCAATGTGCCTCAAGGACTAATTGCCAACAGACAACGGCTGAAAGTGGAAATGAATTCCAAAACACTGGAAATGACACTGAGGTCTAAACCTCCGGGAATACCAGTTCAACAGAGGAAAAACAAGAAGCCTAAACAGACACTTAAATGGATCTCTTTATGAATTTATGTATGTGTTGTAAAGTAGACTATGGCTAACACGAGGTCGGAGCGATTCTTCCTCAGGATATCACGGTGAGCGGCTTCCATGTCCTATCTTCGAGGTAAACGGCTACCAGAACCAATGGAGTCAAGAGCATGCGCGAGTTCTCTCTGGTGACTGAAGTCTGAATGACATGGGGACTGTTTGGGGGCTTTATATTGCCCACTCGAGTCTAAAAATACCTATGGGGAAGTTGTTTATCCCAAGGTCAGCTCAGAACAAGGTGATTGCCCCCATCCGCTTACCCACGGTCGCGATGTCAGAGAAGTGTTTGAACTCGTTCACCAACATGGCGGATATGGGACTGTGTTCTCCAAGGTCATTGTGAGGTCATCCTACCGGGCTATGCCTAATGAGGTCACACAGGTGGTGATGTCCTCATAAAATCAAAATGGCGGATATTCGTTTATTCCAGCCCCTATGCAATAAGTAAAATGAGAAGAACAGCAAAAGCTGTACAACATGTCCTGGGTCTTACTAATCAGCACCTACATAGTAAATTCCAGCTGAATTGCTGCACAAACAAGCATTTTCACAAAGGTGACAATCCCCCGCCGCAAATTATCAAATCAAACTTAAAAAGTAATGAGCGTGAAGATCGTAATTTAAGTTAAATGTCAACAAAAACATGACCAGTCAACATTTCTTGTTATCTTGCTCTGTAGTTGTTCAAACACACAAATATTTTCAAGACTCACTTTGACCTTGACATTAATGTCTTATTGTATGAAATATGAAAAAATAGTAATAAAGAAATTGCTTATGGAAAAACATTCAAAAGAAGCCTTGAAAGTTATGATGAAAATCCAGTGAACTAGCTCACAATTTTTAACAGGCAATTTAACATGCTGAAATCTTCAAAGTGTCGCCGTGATCTTGAAAATTAAGTGATGGTCACCAAAATCGACTGATGAAGCTTGATGTCGAATATGAAGAAAATCCAGTGAACGGTTCTTGAGATATCTCGCTGACAAGGGTAAAACGTTAAAGTCCCCTTTTGACCTTGAAATGAAAGTCAAGGTAACCAAACCTGACTGGGACCCTTTACTGTGATGAACCTAGGTACCAAATATGAAAAGAATCCAGTCAACGGTTCTTTAGATATTCCAATTCGTACGTACGGGCGGCCGTTCGTAGGTACGTACATACGGACGGACGGAGCATAATACTATATCCCCCACTTCGCACTAAAAGCGGGTATACATGGCGGTCATATTTGAAATCGGATCTGAATGGCCCGAACATTCTTTGGTCTACCTAGGTGCAGGAGAATATATGAAAATGTTCAGCCTCACCAATCAAGTAGATAGTTTCAGAAAACATTTTTTAAAGATATAACTGAAATTAAAGGCCGGGCCAAATAACAGGTCAAACAAAGGTCAAACGGCCAAGTAAAGCAAAACCCGTAATGTACGAGTTGGGTCTGTCTGGCACCGACTAACAACCTGTCTGGCACCGACTAACAACCTGTCTGGCACCAACTAACTATCTGTCTGGCACAGACTTACAACCTGTCTGGCACAGACTTACAACCTGTCTGGCACAGACTAACAACTTTCAGTTGATTCACTGCAGAAATTTGGGACTACAGAGCGAAAATGGCACTTTCGATATTGCCGCTGTAGCCCTCATATCTGAAATTAGATCGGGATGCCTGTAACAACCTTTGGTGTCCTCTTGATTTGGAACAGGCATGTCAAGTTCCAGCTTCATCGGCTAAGTTGTTTCGGAGATGATTTTTACAGATGTCGCACGACCGACATCACACGAAGTCGGACATACAATCCACGACAGAAGCTTATTAGGATTTTGTCCTGGTGGCTAAATGTGTTTATGTTCACCATCCAACACAGATGCCCGGTACGTTGTAAACACGTATATATCTTTACTTGACGTTTCAATATTTAAATTATGTTAATAGCGTAGAAACAGTGAGGGTTATTATTCAGCGAGGGTATTTTTTTCAATACATGACCCGCGTTATTTTTCAGTAGCAGCCGGGTGATTGTTCAATGTTGAAAAAGCACCCGCAAGGTACCTTTTCAACACGGGTATATTTTCAATCTTACATCGGCAGGGATTACCCTGTTGATGGTGTGGCTGTTCATACACCATGACTACACCACGTGCTCGTCAAAAAATCCTCGGCATATTCTTTTTGCCTGCACTTTACTTGCCTATAAGTGGAATAGGGTTAACAGTCCAAAGTTAGCACAATTATAGTCTGTTCGAGTAAGTGCATGACTTCACCCACCACCAAGTTTATTCACTGACTGACTGTAGTTTTACGACGTTTTAGCAGTCTTTCAGCAATATCACGGCGGGGGACGCCAGAAATCGGCGCCACACACTGTACCCATATGGAGAATCGAACCCGGGCCTTCGGCGGGACGAGCGAACGCTTTAACCACTAGGCAATGATTAGCGAACTCCGTCATTAAAATTAATCACATATGACATGAGTTTAGTACTCAAGGGCTACACGTTTACATGCAGGCAACAAATGAACACCCCGATATTTCTGCCATACCGTGAATAATCTATACATTAAACCTGAATAAATCTATTAATCTAAACCATAAAACCTGTCGTCAATGGACAGTAAAACCACTACACTTGTATCAGTCAGAATTACAACCAGCACGTAACAGTAAAATATCAGCAGTACTCGGAGATTACTCAAGATTAAAACAGGCTGCAAACCGCCAGGAGCTGCAGGTAGATCACGGTCCACCCCTAAACATTAGCGAGGATATTTTCTTTGAGTGGCATTTTCAGAAGTTTCAGTAAGTTCAGATACAATTAATGAATCGTGTTAAAACTCATCCTTATCAGATGAGGAATATATATTTAGGTGATATGATTTGACTAGAATTAAATTTAAAGGATGATACGGGCGGAACAAGACAGATTGATACAAGCGACAATATACAGACACTGGCTTCATGGTAGGCGGATTTAGGTCACGACGACTCAACACACGAGCCGCTCCTAAATGATCGCCTCCATCTGACCTGATGATATACACAGGTAACTCCCTCCCCCGCAACTTAACCCAGTCCATACCATACATTACAGTCGTGCACGATACATTACCCTCGTGTTATACCATGCGAATGCACGCTGCAAGTCCAGACGATACGGGGATATACAACATGGCTGCCTGTTTGTCGAGTACTTACAGACGCGGGCGTGAGGCGGAGCGACTGTTCAGAGAAAGCCGTGAACGGTGGAGAACATGTCGGAAAACAGTGAGCAATCGTGGTTGCTGCTTCGATTACTGTTGAATGTACAAGCCATTGTACACTCAATGTAAAATGCAAGCCCACCACAGCGAGTTCCAACCGTCCTTCCCGACGCTCGCCCCAGACTGGTGTCAAGGCTGGGCTCTGATCACGTGACATGTATGCAATCGCTGTGTCATACCTCTCAGGCCGCCGCATATAACAGCTACCAGGCAAAGTCCATATCCCCAATGGCAGAAAACGTTTCGTGACGGTGTTTGGTCAAAACACTTCAAGTACAATCGTTTTTTAATTTGGCATGATGCAATATAATTGCTCTACCATTGTGAATTTTTAATTTCATGAATTATGATGTAATAATAAAAAGTTGTTTAATAAAATATCATTAAAATATTATCACAGTTCACTATTTGTTACGAGGTAGGAGTGCAAATAGCTATTGATTTATTTACCTGTGCTGAGCCTTTCTCGCACACCTGTATGTACATCTCTGTGCACTCGTCCCTCGAAACAAAAGTAAACTATGCCAATATTTTTATGATAAAATTTTAATGATGAAAAACGTGGGAGAGTTTGTGCCTCATCTCATTCACTTTAGTTAGAACTTTGAAGAGAAATGATGTTGTAGAAATTATATGAACCCTTTTTTAATGTTCAAACTATCACCTACTTGACCCCCCTCCTCTCTGTCCTTCCCCTCTTTTGTACATAACATGCAGGGGGACTGTTTAGTAAGTAATAATTGTAACAACCTGTGGACTGTTTAGTAAGTAATAATTGTAACAACCTGTGGACTGTTTAGTAAGTAATAATTGTAACAACCTGTGGACTGTTTAGTAAGTAATAATTGTAACAACCTGTGGACTGTTTAGTAAGTAATAATTGTAACAACCTGTGCCTATCAAACATCTAACCTGTGGACTGATCTGCATGGTGGATGCAGTGCAGTGATTGTGACAAGTGCTGAGAGGTGTTAAGATGGCTGGTGACATAGATACTCAAAATCACCAATCAAGACAAAGAATCAGGTTTCAGGCCTTTGATCAAGACAATAAAACATTTACACTAAAATAGAATAACCTGACTACCCTTAAAACAAGAATGCACTGACCCAATAACCTAATTGAGCTATAAGAGTATTATACCAGAGATCAAGATAGACAGACAACTGATTAGATTACTCATTGTAAACAAGCGGTAATCTGTTGAACAATCCTATACACTACCGGTATATACAATAATAAAACCCGATTGGTACAAATAAACAAATATAAAATGTTTGATTTCATCCCTGTTACACTATCAATCAAGGGCATATGAATAGTAATACAGTTTAAAATCTCTAAACATTGGGCATATTGACCTGTTGCAATTGCATGTAGTTTCTGCAAGACTCACACATAATTTAACAATCAACATCTTTGGATTCCATTATTGTAGTTTTTAGTCAACTTTAGTCGAGCAGATATAGTCACAATATGGAGTAAGAACACAACACAGGTATGTATGAAGAATAACTTTATCAGATAAATATAACAAGAAGAAACTTTACAGTTTACACTCACACCTGTTCAACTTGAGTCCACTAACTACCGCCCTTCAAGGGCATCACACACTGGACACAGTTCACACAGATCACACAATTACTGTTTCCCTCAACATACTTAAGGTTACTTCACACAACGCACTAATACATTAATAGTACAATAACACTCTACCTACCTCATACAACTCACTAATACATTAATAGTACAATAACACTTTACCTGCCTCATACAACTCACTAATACATTAATAGTACAATAACACTCTACCTGCCTCATACAACTCACTAATACATTAATAGTACAATAACTCTCTACCTACCTCATACAACTCACCAATACATGAATAGTACAGTAACTCTCTACCTGCCTCATACAACTCACTAATACATTAATAGTACAATAACACTCTACCTGCCTCATACAACTCACCAATACATTAATAGTACAATAACGCTCTACCTACCTCATACAATAGACCCAACTGTAGATGTTTGAGGCATAATCCCACTCTTGGATAAAGGCATGTGAGTAATATAATACATACCACATTAGTAGAGCTGTGACCATATATCGTAGTATCGATAATCACGATACATTTTCTGACAATAAATATATTGATACTTTTTTTGGTAATGTGATATGTATCCTTGACCTTAAACTTATTAATTTTCACCAGAAATTGGCGGTTATGTCAAAATTTACACTGTTAATTGCTATCAAAAGATACATTTTGAAAGAAAATAACTAAAGCTAGCATATCGTGATATGCATCGAATCGAATCGTATCGTTCCAAGATATCGCAATATGTATCGTATCGTGATATTTCTGTATCATCACAACTCTACAAATTAGTACTGTTACTTCGTTTCATTCAGAATTTACTCCCAAGTTTGAATTGTTATGTACTATCATAAGTTCAGAGGAAATCTTGAAATTTCTTAAACTGTAGGATTTAAAGGCTTTAAGTCACTTCTGTTCTGACTAATAATAAAAGGAATACATCTCTGAAAATAAGAACTACTGACCCAGTACATTCAGAATTTTCTCACAGGTTTGAAGTGCTATTTACTATCATCAGTCCTAAGGGAAACTGCAAGCTTTAAAAGCTTTATCCCACTTCAGGTCAAGGACAGGTGACTAATGATAATAGTTTGAAGTTTGAAATGTTATTTGGTATCACCAGTCTAGAGGAAATCTAGAAATTCGAGTAAGATTCTCATAAGATACACATTGGATAAATGTATGTCAATTTTGTACATGAAACTCCATACATGGTTACTTTGAAATATAATGAAAATATAGCATCTGTGTCACTTTAAAAGTCATTTTGTCAATCATTCCTCCATTAAGATTTTGGTATTTACACAGAGTTGGCAATATACATAAGCCTTCCTGCCCCTCTGCTCCTCTGTATCAAATCTCAATACAGTCAAAAACACAGGGGGTGGACTCCATTTCTGAATTTTTATTGTTAAGATGCTTGTGATTCAGGTTCTTGAATTTCTCATTCAGAAAATGACATGCTTCTTTCACTGCTGCACTGTGTTGTTGCATTGTGAGAAACAGAATAAAGTAATCAATGTGCCATGCTTGCTTTAACTACACCAACAACATTCACATGAAAGGCCCTAAACACACCTAAACAACATGGAAAGTGTTAAATAGGAATCACAGTTGCAAAGTGAGTGGAGTGGAGTGGAGTGGTGAGGTGAAATGAGGTTTAAAATATCACTTAAGAATGTTTGCTCTTATGAAGATGTGCATGTGTGTGTATGCGTGTGTGTGTGTGTGTGTCGCTGCTTGTACTAGTTCAGACTTAACTTGGCTTTATAAAGCTAGCTCACTGAGATACCATGCCGCAGTGAAGCATGAATACCCCACTCAGACACATTATACTGACACCGAGCCGACCAGTCCTTGTTGTACCCATTAATGCTGAGCACCAGGCAGGGACCAACAAGTACCATATTTTAATGTCCTTTCGTATGACGCAGCCGGGATCGAACCTGCGACCTTCCACTATCAGGGCGGATGCTCTAACCATTACACCACAGAGGCGGTCGGAGTGGAGTGGAATGGAGTGAGCGAGTGAGGTGTATGGAGAGGAGCACAGTGAGTAGAGTGGAATTGTGTGAGGGAGTGGATGGGTGGTGTGAGAGGAGCGGAGCTAGAGCAAGAACGAAGAAGTAATGAAGCCGAGCAGAAGGGAGAGGAGTGGAGAAGAGTGGAGTGGAGGGGAGCGGAGTATGTGAGTGAGTAGAGTGGAGGGAGTGAATTGATTGAGTTGAGCAGGTGGATCGGTGCTGAGGGGAGTGAAATGTGTGAAGAGGAGTGAAGCTGAATGAAGTCAGTGAGTGAATGGAGAGGATCAGAGTTCAGTGGAGTGGGTGTTGTGAGTGGTGTGAATGAAGTTGAGTGGAGGAAGTGGAGTGGAGTAGACTGGGTAGATCGGAGCTGAGTAGACTGGAGTGATGTGAGTGGAGCGGATCTAAGTGAGTGGAGTGAGTGGTGTGGAGATGACTGGTATTGAGCAGAGAGGAGTGGAGTGGAGCAAATAAACGGAGTGAGTGGAGGTGACCGGAAAGGAATGTTTGGAGAGGCGTGGTGTGGCGTGGCATGGAGCAAGTGAGTGAGTTGAGTGGAGGGAGAGGAGGGAGTGAAGTGGATGAGTGGAGCAGAGCGAGTGAGTAGATTGGAACTGAGTGGCGTGGAGTGAACAGAGGGGAGTGAGTGGAGTTGAGTGAGTGGTGTGGAGGAGAGCGGAGTAGAGCAGGTGGATCGGAGCTGAGCGGACTGGAGCAGTTTATGTAAGTGGAGCGGAGTGGATTGGAGCAGTTTATGTGAGTGGAGAGGGGTGGACTGGAGCAGTTTATGTAAGTGGAGTGGACTCGAGCAGTTTATGTGAGTGGAGCTGAGCGGACTGGAGCAGTTTATGTGTGTGGAGAGGAGTGGACTGGAGCAGTTTATGTGAGTGGAGTGGAGTGGACTGGAGCAGTTTATCTGAGTGGAGTGGAGCGGAGTGGACTGGAGCAGTTTATGTGAGTGGAGTGGAGTGGACTGGAGCAGTTTATGTAAGTGGAGTGGACTTGGGCAGTTTATGTGAGTGGAGTGGAGCGGACTGGAGCAGTTTATGTGAGTGGAGAGGAGTGGACTGGAGCAGTTTATGTGAGTGGAGTTGAGTGGAGTTGAGTGGAGTGGAGCAGTTTATGTGAGTGGGGAGGAGCGGACTGGAGCAGTTTATGTGAGTGGAGTTGACTGGAGCATTTTAAGTGAAGTGAAGTGAAGTGAAGTGAAGCGGGGAAAGGTGAGTAGATGAGTGGAGTAGAGAGGGTGGATTGAGTTAAAATTTAAGTGGAGTAGAGTGGAGCCGAGCGAATGAGTGGATGGGAGCAAAGTCAGTGAGTGAGTGAAGTGGAGTGGAGTGGAACGGAGTTAGTGTTAGTTTATCTTATCATTTACTCCTTCCGTTCACTTTACAGGTGTGTTACAGAAATGCAAATCTTGCCTTTACCTCCTGATACAGCCATCTCTGCAGAAACATTGTGTGACTCTCTCCTCGCCCATTCCTGTCGCCACTGTAAGGAGAGTACATTTCTTGCTAAAAACATTGACCACTACCCACTAGCCTATTACACTCACTACCTCAGTTCTTATAAACCATGGACTTTTTTAAGAAGAAATAGGAATGGCAGTTGCATTTAGTTATGTTAACCTATGCAATACCAAAGGTGAATTATATAAATATGCATTTAACTTAGATTTAGTCTGTACATGACTACACATCAATGCAGAAAACACATAGAACAAGGATCTAGGAACAGGCCATACATATTAGATTTTCTTACCTGATGTTTCCCTGTATCAGGCTCTGTAGACACATGACAAGATTCAACTCATGGAGAAAGAACAATGAAGTAGAACTCCCATATAAACTCTTGACATTGTGACACTGTATAATACTAAAACAGTAAACAATACTTACATTATTATTTATCTTGCATACTTACCTCATTCTCAAAGAATGCTCTTTGAACTTGCATAGTTTCTCGAGTTGAATGCTGCTATTCTCTGTTCCTGAAACACAATTTTTTATTATAGTTGATTTAATTTCACCATATATGCATAGAATATCTGTCATGTTAATGAGGATAACATTATTCAATGTACAGTTCAAAGAAAATAGTTTCTAAAATGTTATGCTAGATAAGCAATATATTCTTTTCTGGCAATCTACAACTTTGGTTACTGAACTTACAGTTTGTGCTCAAATATCTCTTGTTTGTTGGACTGAAATTTTAAATTGGCATTATTTTCAGCAGTTTTAGTCTCTCTTTAAGGACTAGAAGTGTGTGTGTGTGTGTGTGTGTGTGTGTGTGTGTGTCTTCTTACTTGACAAGAACAAATTTTACTAGACTTGGCTTAGACTAGTGGGTAAAGTTAATGTGTATACCCCCTTGTAATACAAACCAATAATAGCGATTTGAAACTATGATCGTTTGTTAAAATTTAATCCCAAGTTAAATAACATTCTGAGATATAAATGTTCAATTAGCAAGGTGGTAAAGTTATGAGAATCGCAATCATACTTTCATCCGTACGTTTTCACTGCAAACAGACTACTGTCATACAAAGCGGCAAAGAGCAAGCCCATTGGTTTGTGAAAGGTAGAGAAGATGTCTGCTAGTACACGTGCAGTACATTACGATGAAATTGATTCCGCGCGCAGGTGCACACGCATTGCATGACTCTCACGTGGTCAGTGGTCCTTGATTGCGAGTACATATTTTGAAAGATTTGATAACATGAGTTCATTGACAGTTCTGAAATTATGTAATTATTATTTCTCGCTCAAAGAAATTTTCATTTTCCACCTTACCAGAGATCGCCTCTGCCTCACTTAGAGTCGCCTCTGCGGCACAAAAGGTCATTTGTGCCTCCACTCGTCTGCTCTTTCCTGCAAGAATGCTGCTAACGACAGCCATCTGATCATCCGACGTCCGCTCATAGAGACGAATAGCCTCTCTTCTGTGACCTGAAAAAAAATAGATTTTGAATCTTTCTAAGGTGAGAGACAATAGTTTTATAACGACGGATGTAAATGAAATTTTTTTTCTTCAAAGAAAAACCCTTGAAACGGACCTTCTAACAGTGGGAAACTAATAAGGTAGAAAGTCTACTTGACGCGTCAACAAACTCGTTATACCGCGTGTCGGGTAGATTTCCGTTATGCAGTGATGTAGCCGAGAGCCGCGATGCGGTCCTATGCAGGATCATGTCTTGACTGTAGGACCTCATCGCGGCTCTCGTCTAGCAATGATATGTAAACATTTTGTTGTTTATTTTTCAGGCAGGTTATATCTAAAACGGTTGATCAATTGTATCCTCGGATGGTGGTTTATCCATCACAGAGTTAGAGTATCAAAAACGTTTGTTGTCCGACTCTGATTGTCTGACATCTTGCCTGTGATCGCAGCAGTGCGTGGAATGCACGAGCTTATCGT